CCTCTGAAGTCGGCTCATCTGATGTCGCCTTCTCTGAAGTCGGCTCGTCTAATGTTACCTCCTCTGAAGTCGGTTCGTCTGATGTCGCCTCCTCTGATGTCGCCTCGTCTGATGTCGCCTCCTCTGAAGTCGACGCCTCCTCTGAAGTCGGCTCGTCTGATGACGTTGCCTCCTCTGATGTCGCCTCGTCTGAGGATGCTCTCTGCACTCCAGAGGTCGACGCTCTCTTCACTCCAGGTGTCGACGCTCCTTCCAGTCCAACGTCTCCACCGTCTCCGGTTCCGATGGTGGTTCTGAAGGTTGCTCCGGCCCAGCCTGCAGAGACGTTGTCACCGGCCCGGCCTGCAGAGACGTTGTTACCGGCCCGGCCTGCAGAGACGTTGTCACCGGCCCGGCCTGCAGAGACGTTTTCACCGGCCAGGCCTGCAGAGACATTGTCACCGGCCCAGCCTGCAGAGACTTCGTCACCGGCCCAGCCTGCAGAGCTCCTCTATCGTAGGCGCCGGCCTCCCAGGGCCCGTCGCCTCCTCATCTGCCTCAGGTGCCGGCCTCCAAGGGCCCGTCGCCTCCTCATCTGCCGCAGGCGCCGGCCTCCAAGGGCCCGTCACCTCCTCATGTGTCGCAGGCGCCGGCCTCCAAGGGCCCGTCGCCTCCTCATCTGCCGCAGGCGCCGGCCTCCAAGGGCCCGTCGCCTCCTCATCTGTCGCAGGCGCCGGCCTCCAAGGGCCCGTCGCCTCCTCATCTGCCGCAGGCGCCGGCCTCCAAGGGCCCGTCGCCTCCTCCTCTGCCGCAGGCCCCCAGACTCTGTTGATCCCTGCCACCTCTCCATCGTCCTCTGGGCCCTCCCTCCGGGTCCCCCTCCTCCCCCCCTGCTCCTGGTTCCTGTGTGCGTCTGGGATCCGCCCTTTGGGGGGGGGGGGGGGGGGGGGTTACTGTCACACCCTGTCCTGTCTTCTCCTAGGTTGTAGTCTGTGTCTCCGTTAATTGCTCCCACCTGCCTCTTGTTTCCCAGTCACCATAGCTCCCGCTCCTCGTGTATTTAAACCCCTTCTGTTCTGTGTTCCATGTCGTGTCATTGTTTCAGTGTCCAGCATGTCTCCAATAAACTCATGTCAAACGGACTTACCTGTTCGCCTTCTTCCTCCCCGCGTTTGGATCCTACCTCCGCTCCACTCGCCAGGCACGCTTGTGACACACACGGGGTTTACAGTTTTATAACAAGACATCAGAAATTAACCTAAAGAAAATCCCCCTTGCTATAAATAGGGAGTGTGCCAGCCACCGTAACCAATTTAACAAGTTCTTGCAGGTGTGAACCAGGGAGAACCTCAACAAGTCCCATTAAAAGGGGCCACCAAAAATATGAGGACTGGAGTGAGCTACTTTACACAGGGTGTTAAAAGGACCCGGTGGCTTAACAAGGAGGGGAGATCACAGTGCTCAAACGACAGAGTACAAGCTTTAACGCTCTAACCTCTCTGTTACTGTGTCTCCCCTGCCTGATGAAAATTGGAAGCTTAATATAGGATCCAGGTGTTGATGATGATGTGATTGGAGTCAGCTGTCCATCAGTCTCTCTTCTGTCCTCTTGTGGCGGTTCTCAGGACTCCAGGAGAGTACGTCAGCTGCATTAGGCTTACCAGGGCAGAGGTCGTCACAAACGCGCAGCTTATTAAGTAAATAATTCGGTGCTGTACCTTTCTCTTCAGCACTGCCGACAAAGGTTTATGATGGGTCAGTGCTCCTGCATGCTCAGATCATTCCATTCCCTTGCTTGAAAAATTGTTCCAAAATGAAAGTTGAACCCACATCTTTTTTATCTGTGAATTCAATGCCGTTCGGCGAGTCTCAAATAAAAATTTGGGCATCATACTGTAAAAAAATATACCATTGATGTAAAAAAGAAACTCTAAATGAACTATGTTCCCACTCAGAATCAAACCCAGGTCTTCTGCATGAGAGTCAGACATCTTACAAGGTGAGCTACACACCATAACATTCACAGTATCTGTAACTTTTATATCCTTAATAACACCTGAAACAACGTCAAACCAAAGAACGGTTCGGAGCGAAAATGGATATTTTGTTGCTAATTTGCAGGAAATGTCTGGAAGAAAGTTCTACAGAAAGTAGCTAAGGGTCCTCAGAAATGTAGCTAGCTTTGTCACAAGGCGTTAGGAACAGCGACAAAGTCGCCGAGTTGGCACTCTCTCTCTGCTGCTAAAGCTACGGATAGCAAACGCTACGGGCTATGCCTGAGCGTGAATGCGCATGAAGCAGCCTGCTCGACCCGAGCATCTCTCTTTTTCTGTGATTTTACAGAAAAACAGGCAATCACAGTAAAAATGCCAGGGCTCATTCTACAGGACCAGGGCATTGCAGGAGAACGTATGAAGAAGAAATTTATTATTTCTATACATGTTTTTGCTGTCAAACTTCCATAATGCCCCTTTAACAGCAGATATGGTAGTTTTCTCTTTACTTATTTTTAATTGGCTAACTAAAAATTTACCTGATTTATTACTATGTTCACAGTTTTCTATTCATAGTCTTTGTGCTAAAAAATGTTTCTTTCTGTCGATAATTCCATGAAGTTCTAATTTAGCTTTACGTAATTTGCTCATTAACTCTTCTTTTGTGGATGCCTCTAAAGACTTAATGATTTCTTCTAACTCCTGAACACATTTGTTTTCTGTTTTTTTTCTTATGCGATGAGAAAGAGATTATTTTACCATATTTGGGTCTTGTTTAATTTCACACAGTCACATTTGAATAATGAAAGTGCATTTTTTTTATTAACAAGCTTTAGTTTAAAGTAAAAATATACATGTCTAATGTGTGATTCTCTCATTATTTTTCATTTTAAAAATTGCTTTGAGTGCACATTTACCAGAATGATTAAAATGCAAATAATTGAGGATTAATTAATCGCAAAGCCTCTAATTAATTAGATGAAGTTTTATCAATTCCCACTCCTAATTATTTATAAAAAAATTTATCAAACCTCTTCCCATCATGAACTTAATAATTGTGTTTGGCCTGAAGGTGTCACAGTGCATCATTCAGGATTATCTCAAGGAGAGTTTCCTTCATCTGCTGTTGGAGACAAATTAAACAATACCTTTTTTTTCTATTTCTGACTTAGGTTGAAGTAGTTGCAGTTTTGCATGGATAATTATTAAAGATTAAGCTTTTATGATAGGAGATATGTGATGTTGGACACCTAAATGATTTTTTTTCTTTTTCTCTTCATTGGGGGGCTCCACATGTATTTGTATCGGTTTATATTGGTGTTGGAAATCATGAGTTAGACAATATCGGATATTGGTAAAAAAGCAAAAATCAAGCATCCCTAGGTTATTTTGCTTCTTTTTTTGTTCTTGTGACGCTCTTCGGGATTTTTATCTTGAGGGGCTCTATATAAAAGATCGTTTCTTCCTCTTCTGTGATCATGACACCTCCCTCTGTTGCACCAAGGCATTCACATGTCCGGCGTTGCAGTAATATTACTACCAAGTGTGGCCGCACAAATACAGCAAAAGTCCTGTATTACCATGCTGCCACAGCACGTTCATAAGACAGACAAAGATGGCAGTATTACGCTGATTTGCCGGCAAAGTGGTTCTTCTAAAAAGAGCTAAAGACAGTAGGACATATCAGGAGATGTTGGACACCCAACCGGCCTCACAACTGCAGACCACGTGTAGCCACACCAGCCCAGGACCTCCGCATGTTCACCTTCATGATCATCTGAGACCATCCACCTAGACAGCTGTGGTTTGTATCACCAAAGAATTTCTGCAAAAACTGTCATTCACAGGGAAACTCATCTGAATACTCATCTGGACCTGAGTGCAGTTCATGGTCGTAACCCACTTGAGTGGGGAAACAATCACATTCAATGGCGATTGGCATGTTGGAGAGGTGCTCTGTTGGTAGACAGAGTGTGTGGCATGGTGTGGGTGAGCGCTTTGCTGACATCAGTGCTGTGGCCCATGGTGGCAGTGGGGTGAGGGTATGGGCAGGTGAATGCTATGGACAAAGCACACAGGTGCATTGTATTGGGGGCCTTCTAAATGTACAGAGACACTATGACAAGATGCTGAGGCCCACTGTTGTCATTCAGCCACAATCATGGCTTCATTTAACGGCATGATGACGCACGGCTCCATATTGTACACGGTTTCTGGAAGCTGAAAACATCAGTTGCATTTCAGTGATTTTGCCAAAACTTTCTTATTGGGAAGAGAACTTTTACCAACACTCATCCTTGGTTGTTATTTATTTTCAAATATATCAATTTTCATTTTAATTTGATTTAATTTCTAACTGACCAAGTTTCATTTGTTATTACGTGGTTTACCAAGGAGATGAGGAGATGTGCCATTTCTTTTAAAGCACCACAAGACTGGAACAAGTTAGCATGAGTTTACGGTCAACCATATTGTTTTGTTTATTTAGAAACTCTGTCGATGAGTTTGTGTTGCCGACCTGTAATTGCTTTGCTTCAGCGGACTAAAATTCTATGTGTGTGCATGTATGTACATACTGAGAGTGTATGTGTAGACTTATAAAGACTTGCACGCTTGTGTTTATTTGTGATGAGCTGCAGCAGTATTATTTTCCTTCACTTTCCTTTTGTATGCTGCCTATGGACTCTCTATTAGTTGCATGGCAGGAGTACCCGCTCAGAAACGAGATGTTTAGCATTTATTTATCCTCCTAAAACATAAGTTAAATTAAATTAAAGTCATGCAGTTATGACAAACTCAAACTGCTAGACTGGCACCCTTCAGATGAAATGTTGGAGCTCTTTGTTTAAAAAAGAAAACTACAGGATATGCAAATTTTTTTAAGGATTTTATTATTCATGAAACAATTTTCTTGCACTGGATGTAAAAACAGTGATAATAACTTGTATATCAGCATGTCTGAATCCAGTCCCTATAGAACTGAAGACCGAAGAATGCTGATATAAGGTTGTGTTTCTCTCATTTCAGGATGTGCGTTTGTAACATTCACAGCTCGACAGATGGCCCAGTCAGCCATCAAGTCCATGCATCAGAGTCAGACCATGGAGGTGACATGCACACTCACCGTATAGTGATCTTACATGATATTAAATATCGAAAAATGGTTAAATAGATTGTTTTCACTGATTAAATATGGCAGCATGATGAAGTTGATGTAGTTCATTGATGATTAACTTCAGATGGACACGAGGCTGTTCTTCAAGCTTTTTTTCCTCATCATTGATTATTCCAGCTCGTTATAATGAGTATATTGTGTTAGGGATGCAACTGCACCGGTAGCTTCAGTGTGCTTAAACACAACTGATGCACAATGTATTTTTCCAAGCAGGTCACTTGTCAGTAAAAAAACAGGATTACATCCATGACTTCATAGTTTATCTGCTACGTCCTTGTTTTTCTAGGTGCATTGAACACACCGTCAGTATCTGTTGGCGTTTGTTGTTAGAGAAGCTGGGTGAAGACTTTCTGATTCAAACTTTATTTGACCTAAAATCCCTTCAAGTAGTTGTTTTTAGTCGTCTGTATTCTTTCCTCAATAATCCTCAGGCCGGTCTTGTTTGATCGATTATCAGTGATTACTGCTACAGAAACAAAGTAGCCTACGTATTTACTTCCCCTTTAAAAATGTTGCTTTTACAGTGTCTTGTGTGCTTCAGGGCTGTTCATCTCCCATTGTGGTGAAGTTTGCTGACACTCAGAAAGACAAGGAGCAGAAACGCCTGGCTCAGCAGCTCCAGCAGCAGATGCAGCAGCTTTGTGCATCATCCATGTGGGGAAGCTTGTGTGGCATCAACAGCATAGGGCCACAATGCCTAGCAGTGAGTTTGTGTTTCATAGCAAATTTATGTATTTGTACAAAATGCAATAGTTGACCCAAAAAAATGCAACAAGTCATCTAATCAAACTATCATGCTGCTGGCTTTAGCTTTACTTGCAGTTACTACAGCAGGCGACCTTCACAGGGAATGCACTCAGCAGTCTGCACCCAGTTTCAGGTACAGGAGCACACACAAAGACAAACTCTAACAGTCTACTAACAACTAGAGTGTGTTGCTGAAATGTCATTTTGGCTTACTGGACCACCTACTGCATCGGCGTTTTGGTGTCACATTCTTGGTGACTTTGATTTAGACGTCTGTAGATCAGTCGTTTTCATTAAATGATGTGCCTTGCTCTTGGTCCGACCTCAGGTCTACAGAGCCAGCTAACTCCAGTCAAATGTATGTTAACATATAACGTGTGTCCTGAGCCTAATTGTGTGTTTCTGTCAGGTCTTATCACTGTGCAACATCTGGCTGCTCTAGCAGCGGCAGCAACAGGTGCACAAGGAACTTCTTCAAATTCCAGCAACATGATGACATCTACTAGTTCACTCAGTGCATTAACAGGCTCAGGTAAAACACTTCTGACATCTACAAATGTCGTACAAAACCAAAAGACATTTAAAATGACGATACTGACAAACACTGCTTTAATAGTGGTTGCCTGTCATTTATAAACACAACAAAATTTACAAAAACAAACATAGCAGTAAGTATAGACGGTCAGTACTAGTGGAGAGGAGTCACATTTAAATTTACACAAATCTTCTTCCATTACAGCAGGCCTTTGGCGTCTGGGTCAGATATTTCTAATTAAAACACTGTAAGTCCATCCATCCGTCTATTTTCCTCCGCTTACCCGGAGTTGGGTCGCGAGGACAGCAGCCTAAGCAGAGAAGAGCAGCGGCTCTACTCTGAGCCACTCCCGGATAACCAAGCTTCTCACCCTATCCTTAAGGGTCCTGCCTCCCTGTGGAGAAAATTAATTTTAACACCCTGGCTTCACCTAGAAAGTCAGCTCATTGAAGTTATGAACAAAATTGGTGAAAAAGCCCCCCCCCCCCCCCCCCCCCCCCCCCCCCACACACACACACACCCACCCCGAGGAATGCAGTAAAACTCCTTCTCGAAATCCACAAAACATGTGTCGATTGGTTGGGCAAATCCCCAAACACCCTCGAGGACCCTCCTATGGGTACTGAGCTGGGTTCTCATTTATCAAACATTGCGTAGAATCCTTACTAAACCGTACTTAAGCTCAGCAAAAAAAATGGACTTACACCAAGTAGGTTTGTGATCTATCAAACATGGAGTACGCACAGCTGCACGCAAACTCCGCTTCATAAATCAGAGACTACCTAGAAATGTTCTCAGGGGTTTCTGGATCACGTCTCGTCCTGGAGAAATGAAAGGGCTTGTTCTGTGTGAAAACAAAGCAGTACAAGTGATAATGCTGCAGGATTTCATAACATTATCCTTCTCAGCTGCAGCACTGCAGATGCTCTCCATGTCCAAAATGTGAGTAAGGCAGGTCCTTAGTCACCTTACAGTAAACAAAAGTATTGTTGAATTGAAATGAATTAAAGTTGCACACATTTTTCTGTTAAGTTTTCTTTTATAAATCCCAAAGTTTGCGTGGAAAGTTGCTTACGCAGTTTTCTAATCCCGTTTTGTGCGTAAGCAAGCTTGATAAATGAGGCCCCTGGTCCAGTGTTTCACAGCCAGGACAAAAACGGATGACAGACCCTCCTCCAGAACTGCTGAATAGACTTTTAGGGGTCTCAGGAGTGTCATCCCTCTGTAAAACAAGAAGCAATCGAGATAAGGAGACGTGGATGTGGGACCATGAACAGAGACGATGGAGTTTACTCGTTGGATCGTGCATGGGACTGCATCGTCGGAGAGGGGGCAGTAGAGGGCGACAACGCCCTCTGCTGCCCAGAGATAAACGGATTAGGAAGTGACGCCACCATCAGCGTCAGCTCTGAGGAAGTTCGCAGCCGTGAATGAAACTGTCAGCAAGGTAAAGAAAAACCTTTCCTGGGTTTTAAAAAGAACCAATATAAAATAAGACTACTTATAAAATTATATATATATATATATTTTATATATATATATATATATATATATATATATATATATATATAGTATATACACAGAGAGAGAGAGAGAGAGAGAGAGAGAGATCTTAATAAAATACATTATTTTATTGGTGTTTTAGTGAGTTGTTTTATTTTCTAAAACAATTTTGAATAAAAATAAATAATCAACAGCATTCCTTGTGTGTGTGTGTGTGTGTGTGTGTGTGTGTGTGTGTGTGTGTGTGTGTGTGTGTGTTTGTGTGTGTGTGTGTGTGTGTAACTACAGACAAATGCATGAGAGAGTTAACAGCCCTGAAACAACTTGATGGACGACTCTCCCCACGTATTATAAATGCTAATATGGCGTTTCTGCTACGCTAAATAAGGATTTCTCTATAGAACTACTAAAATGTCCGACTGGGAATGTGTGTGGTCTGCTCCGTGGAAGGAGGTGGAGTTTGCAGCTCCTTCTCCAGATTTAAAGAGACAGTACCCAAAAACGGCTCGTTCTCAAGCCTCCTCAGAACAGAGGTAGATGAGGTCTGTAGAGCAACAATAACGAGGAAATCAGATCAAAGAACTGCAGTTCCACTGTATTTAGACCCCAACTGAATGATTTTGATGGAAAAAGGAAGAATTTAAAATGATGATTTGTCTCCTTTAACAGATCTATGAAAAAGCAAGAAAAATATGAATGCATTAATATTTTATAACAATTTTTACAACGTTTTTGTCCTCTAAGGCCACAAGAGTAAAATGAAGTGACGTCTGAGGGTTAATTATATGTAATGATGTAAAAGTATTGTACATGCACCAGCCCACTAAAACCCACCATAAGAAATAAAGTAGTATCATCTGGAGCAAGAAGAAATGCATACATTAGTGATCTGAATGTGTTTTTGCTTGTAAACATGGCGGACATGCCTTGTATAAATGCTGAAATGACATGTTATTAGCCTGTCTCTGGCTCTCTCTTTAGATGCCTGGTTTTTACTGTGTCTCCTCCTCTCTATTCTAAAAACAGGTGGGAAAACTGAGCTGTCTGATTGGCTAAGGCTACATCAAGACCCATTACAGCGCGAGGTCACAAGTGCACGCTGTGCTGTCCTTGCTCCTTCAGGTTGGTCTAAGTGCTGATTCATCTATATTTGCTTTTGCAGTGGCACTAATGAGAGCAATATTATTTTCTTGGGGCAAAAATGTGGTTCATTAGGCTTGCTGGATGCCAGTGGGCCCTCCTCCTATATTGCCTGAGTCATTCAATTCAATTCAGTTTATTTGTCTAGCGCCAAATCATGACCAGTGCAGAGTGGTAAATGTAGTGCTTTTAAGCTTTATTTATTACCTTTACTTATGACCAATAAGCTGTGATACTCTATATAAATATAGAATATCACCCTGCTTGGTCTTTGGATGTTTAATCAGAAGATTCTAGGATTCTTTGTTTATACAGGGATTGTGGAACACTTTGTTTTGATTCAAGGAAAGAGCCAGGTTTATAAAAAGTAAGAATTTATTTTCAAAACAATTAAAAACATGACAAGTTAACTAATATTTACTGTGATGGTGTGGAATTTGCAGTCTGGCTCGACTGCACCCCTCCTCATATGTGGTTACAGAGGAAGGGACCGTTCTTACGAGGACACCAGAGCTGAAGAAAAAGAAAAGAAAGTTTAAGCCTGTTATGGCCTTTTCCAACGACGAAAGCCGCACCCCTCTCTACGATGACCCCAAAGGAGTCCTCTACACCATCTTTCCCCAGTTGGGGACTGCAAGTCTGATGCAACGTATGAATGAAGTGTGGTGGTCTCTGGAAAACATCACCACTGTCCTCTCTGACATGACCTAATTTCTGGCAGACAATCCTTAAAAGCAAGTAATGAGAACCATGCTGATGCAACACCAACTAGCCCTGGACACCCTTTTCGTAACCGAAGGAGGACTCTGCGCAAAAATTGGTGAGCATTGTTGCACTCACGTCCCCTCCTCACGTGACAACTGGACTTTGATCCACGACCGTGTTCGAGTGCTCAGCAACTTCCTGAAATCCAAAGAATTGACTGGAGGATCCTGGATATTGATGAATTGGCTGACTACTGATTGTCACGATCTGCCCCTGCCTTCCTGACTGTGTTCCTCTCCTGCCCTGATTAGTTGTTTATTGGTTTCACCTGCCCTTGTTAACATGCCCATGTGTTCCTGACTTTCCCCAGTGTATTTATACCTCCCGTCTCGTATGTCCTGTGTCGGATCATTGTTTGTATGTGCATGTCTCATTTTGTCCTGTCGCTCCCTTTGTTATTAAACCCATTTTTACTTTACCCATGCCTGCTCTTCTGCCTCCTGAACCCCCCCACCACACTTGGTCCACCATCTCCACCCTCACAACATGACACTGATAATTGGTATCTGCTCTTGTTAAAATGTCTTGCCGAGACAAGACACGTGGTACACGTGAGGTTTGGACCTCGTTATGAAATAAATTTTAAGGACTGGACCAATTGGTTTTTAATTGATTACCCCGGGCTTAGAGCCTCAACAGCAGGAGGAGTTGTGGAGAGTACTGTGGGAATTGAAGGACATTTTCAAATTCAAAGATACGTTATTAATCCCAGAGGGAAATTAAAGTCAGGATATCATCAGGAGTGCTCTCCTTCTCAGGGGTTGTGATGGTGAACAAGAAGATACTTAATTCACAATACTGTACATTTATATTATTTCTGCATTATTAATATTATTATTTGTATTATTATACATTTTGCATCAAGAGGAGTGGCACTCCAGTGTTGCTGTACTCTATACAACGACAATAAAGGCTATTCTATTCTATTCTTGTCTCTTTTATGGGCCTGTGAGACTTCACCATGTTGTGCACTTTAAATGATGCCTGTAGAGATCAGCTGTGCAACAGTGGTGGAGAACTTTGTAGCACTCCTAATTAAGGGTTTGTTTTAATATTACCATCCATCTGTGCTACTTCATTCTCAGTAGCGTCTCGAGGAGGTCACTACACAAAAGGTGGGTTACACCCTGGACAAGTCCATCACAGACACACACAGACCCAAACAACTATTCATACTCTGATTCATACCCAAGAACAGTTTGGGGTAGCCATTAAAGCTAACATTAGGTCTGTGAGAGGAAACCGGAGTACTTGGAGATAACCCACTCATGCATAGAGAAAACATTGCTCTTTTTATGTTTTGTTATGTATTTTTTAATGAGGGTGTGTTAAACAAAAACTTGTTTTGTCAAATAGTGAACTTTGTTTTCATGTCATTAACACAGGTATGGCAGGACTGAACAGCAACCTTGCAGCTGGAGGTCTTTCTAATGGCTCAGCTAATTCAATGGAGGCATTGAGCCAGGCCTACTCAGGTATGCAGCAGTATGCTGCTGCCTTCCCCAACCTGTACAACCAGTGCTTATTGTCTCAGCAAAATTCATCAGCTGCTGGAAGCCAAAAGGAAGGTGAGTTCTGTTAGAAGGGTTAGTGAAGAGAAAATCAGTTGGGACGTGGTACTTTTCAAAGTGCAGATTAATGATGTTTAGTCACTGTTAACAAGAAAACGTTCATAGTATAAAAAACGAGTAGTAAGTACTTCAGTACTTATCTTAATTTTGTGCCCACAATCTTTACAGCTACGAAAAAGACCAGTGGAGTTTCTGCATTGGTCCAGTATCACTCAAACAATCTGCAAACTAATCTCTTCTGTTTTAGTGATAAACAGAAACAGACTCTAAGAGGACATAGACTTTTACCTGGATGGCTAACTATGATCCACAACTGCAGTGAAAAGAAGGGAGTAAAGCAAAGTGAGCTCTGCATTTCTATAGGTAGCTATTGTCAGCGCCAGGGACAGCGAGAGGCGAGCTGCAAATATTAAAGGTGTGAGCCAGACTCCGCATTAAAATTGTAGCAATTCAGTATAACTACACTTAACCACCTATATAAATATGAAGGCTCTCAATTTACCAGTCAATCTACCGCCCAGTCCTCACCAATGGTCATGAGCTTTGGGTAATGACCAAAAGAACAAGATTGCAGATACAAACGGCCGAAATGGGCTCAGCCTTAGAGATAGGGTGAGGAGCTCGGACACTCGGGAGAGACTCGGAGTAGAGCCGCTGCTCCTCCATATCGAGAGGAGTCAGTTGAGGTGGTTTGGGCATCTTGTTAGGATGCCTCCTGGACGCCTCCCCAGGGAGGTTTTTCAGGCATGTCCTGCCAGCAGGAGGCCCCCTGGTCGACCCAGGACACGTTGGAGAAAGTATATCTCTGAACTGGCCCAGGAACGCCTTGGGGTCCTGCCGGAGGAGCTGGTGGTGGAGGTGGCCGGGGAGAGGACGGTCTGGAGCTCCCTAGTTGGGATGCTGCCCCCGCGACCCGGACCCGGATAGGCGGAAGAAGACGAGATGAGATGATAAATAGGAACTGGGTTCAGTTTTTCATGTTAAGGACCTTTGTCATAATCATTACAGAACATCCAAATCCTCTCCTCCAGACAGTGAAGAACTGTGTTCCGCACACATCACTCCAACACGTACAACAAGCTAGCTGCTGTTGCTAGTATTGTGAATGACAGTATTTTGTTTACTTCCGTACTCTTAATATGTTAATGGAAAATTGCGTTTGCAGCTGCAGCAAAAGGTCTGAGCCATATGTCCATGTTCTACACTCTTTTTTAAATAACAGGTCTGATCTAAAATAATAATCTATAAATCCATCTGGAACCACACCGGTACTTCTGGACTCCAGAGTCCCGTTAGCACGACTGCAGCAACACTGCTAACCGTGTTAGCTCCGGTAAGGAAAAACAAGTCATTTGGGAAAGCTACGACACACACACACACACACACACACACACACACACACACACACACACACACACACACACACACACACACACACACACACACACACACACACACACAAACACACACAGAGAGAGAGAGAGAGAGAGAGAAAGAGAGAGAGATATGATCTAAAAGATTATCTCCATATTTCAACAATAGAGCTCCGGACATCACGTGGCTCTCTGAGAGTAGATGCCATGTTGGCAGGCAAAAAAGGTAAACAAAACGAACTGGATCGACTTGGATTTTACTCCATCAGCGTTTACTTCGCACTTTAAAACTGAAGAAATCGTTTTATATAGTCAGAAATTAAATAGACTCAACATTTCCGACCCTTACATTCCCCTGGGATACTTTTTAAAAATGCCAGAAGCTGTCGGAGCAGACCTCTTACCGGATTTGAGTTACCCTGACATTTATAATTTCCTTGTTAATTTTCCCTCGTCCTACTCCGGAGCATTGCTAAGAGCATATAAAAGCCTGGAGGGATACAAATGGACTCAATCAGGGTTTGTTGTCGGTATAAATCACTAGTTTGATTTTTTTCCGTGAATAAAATAAATATGTCAGGCAGGAGCGTCTCAGGATCTGTCTGAGATCTGTCTCAGTGAGACTGATAATAGCAATCCAAAGTGCTTTTTATGCGTGATCTGATTGCTGTGATCATAAAACACGTAAACGGCAGCACGCAGAAATCACGAGGCAACGTTTTACGTGACGTTTACTTGTTGCTATGAGTAATAAGACAGAAAAAGCCACGCCAAAATAAGTTTAGGAAGCCCACTAAGAATAAAAGCATTTAAAATAAATACCATACACAGTTGAGGAAACGTTGGTTTAACCCTCGGGGGTCCAGGGTGTATTTTGCTGTTTTTGACTAATTTAGAGTTTTCCTTTGTATTTCCAAAATAAAAACCATAACCACTGCCTTATGTGGTATCAATCTTTTCAGCACAACCTGGACTTTATGAATTTATACTTATTTTTTATATTATGACATAAAGGGGTTGCATATTAGACCTCAAATCACTCAAAAACATAAAATCCGAATTGGAAAAAAGTTGTTTATTTTACTGTGAAACCAACAAACATTTATGATGAATGTTTTTTATCATTTAGAATGGTAATCTAGACTGTACATTTATAAAAAATATGAATAAATATAGCAAATAACAAATAAAATAAAAAATTAGCCCTCTGGGGTCCAGGGTGTAAATCACCGTTTTTGACTCATTTAGGTTTTTCTTTTGTATTTTCTAATAAAAACAATAAATATTGCCTTATGGGGTGTCCTTTTTTTTTCAGGACAACCTGGACTATCTGAATTTATACTTATTTTATTAATTTGGCAATAATGGACATGCATTTTGGAGTGGGGAGTGGCTCTGTCTCACGCCGAGATCTGACAGCTGCGCGGCGCCGCCCCGCCCACTCCTCTTGTTGGATCTCCGAGGAGCTGCGTGTTTGCCTTCATCCTCTACCTCATCATGACCCAACTCTTCTACGAGGAAGGATGGATCTGCCACATCGTCATCAACATCCTCGCTATTTGCCTCAGACTCCGGCTGTGAGTCTCCGTCCACATTCTCTGCTTCCAGTTCAAAAAACAGCCGTACTATCTGAACTGCCTGGCGGACATTTATCCTTCTCATCACCCTTTATATAAGCCCAATAAAAGCCTACTAAACAGCAGCGTCCTGTCCGTGTCGCTCCAAATTATGAAGTTTACCGTCAATATCTGTCTAATTGTTTGTTGTTACTCCGTTCGCGCCACTCCTTTCCCAGCCAAGCGGCTCCTTTTTGCGCATATCTCGTTACTCGTGCAGTCTTCCTCTCTCTCTCAGTTACATAATGATGCTTTTTATCAATTGAATATGTGAAACGTCCACCAACAGCAAAAGGATCTCATGTTTTTGTGAGTTTTTTTAATGTTCACAAGCACATTCCCTCTCACGGATTACTAAACTGCTGTTTTGACAAGTTGTCAGATTGTCTAAAAATAGGTTGTTTTTTAGTTTAGTATAACTCCGCTTTTACGTTGCCTATTAACAAAATTTAAAAACTGGGGTGTAGTTTATAATCTCCTTTTTAAAGCTGAAGTGAAAGTGAAACTCAGGGAGGCAGAGTCTTGCTGCTACAGCGTCCCAAATCAGACCTGTTCAAAAGACGAGTATACGCGTCCATGGACTCCAGAGGGTTAAGTATCTGATATGAAGTGGTCGCTGCATAAGCGAAAACCTTTACTCTCGGGATCCCACAGCTTCGTTTTAGCCCGGTCGCTAGCGCGTTTCATTGCGTTGATCCAACGTTTGCGGCGTTCCGGATTTTGGGGAATCCTGTAGAAGGCTCTTCCCTAATCTTGTCCACGTCTGTTCTGGCATCCTGGGGCACATCAAGAATCTACCATATTTCCTGTTTGATTGAGTTTTCTGACAATAACAAATAGCCCAGCTGTGGGCTTCTGCCTGCCAAGATGGCGCCGTTTCAATTTGAACTGTTGCATGCCGGGATAAGTGTCGTCATCTCCCGGAGCTCTATAGATCCTCCTGGGACCGGTAGAACCTCCGTGCCATCCTGGATTAGTGCAAACGAGTCAAACTAAGGCGTTACTCCAGCATCAGGAAGATTTATTCTGTAAATTATCTGTTAAATATTTACTAGAGTTATATCAACACACACGCAGCTGTAAAACTGGCAGCACATTGTTTTATTTATCTGTAGATTACTGAATTATATTGGGACACATGATGGAGCTAAGACCAGCTGAGAACTCACCAGTGTAGAGCTCCCGGTGGAACACAGAAATGAAAAATAAAATATAAAAGTAAACAAACTGTACCGATTTTGGTTCTTAAGATGAACAGAATCCACCTCGATGTTCAAATTGGGTCACGGGTCTTCAGAGTCAAACGGTCTAAAACATGTCTGCACCTCAGGTAGTGATATCCAGCTAGCGGGATCTGAGTTCGGTTGAACTTCTCCGTTAAGACGTTGAAGGGTGCCTAATCACACATGCTTCTCTGTCATTAATTATATAATTTGCAGATTTACAAATGGACAAAAACACAGCAGTTATTAACTCATTCACTGCCAGAGGTTTCCTGATCACTAACGGCCTTCGCTGCCAGCATTTCTCACCGTTTTTACTGTTTTTTTAAGAGTCACAGAACGTTGCGTGCTAGCATGATGTCGATGCCAAAACAACCAAAACAAAGAGAAGACTTACCTCTTACATCAGGAAGAAGCCGCGTGTTTCGAGCGTTATCCGTTCTTTCATAATCCGTTGTCGAATTGTGATCGGCAGACGCTTTTCCGGTTTGCGCCTCACTTTTTTTACAGGAACGGCCCAAAACGATCTCCAAACACATGGATGTGTTGCTTCCTGATCATGTGATCTGTGACGTATGCGGATGAAGATCGGCTTCAGGACTGAGATGTTTGTTCTCTCAGCGCGGGGGCTCGTTCCGATGCTCAAACAGTAAAAAAAATGCAAATGACGACTTTAGTCGTCATTGGCAGTGAACGGTTGGATCTAAAATGACGACTTTAGTCGTCAATGGCAGTGAACGGTTGGATCTAAAATGACGACTTTAGTCGTCAATGGCAGTAAATGAGTTAAACACAGGAAATGCAGACTAAAACATTTTTGCATCATTGCTTTGGCGCCCCCTCCAGCCTGGCGCCCCATGCGTCGCACACTGCATACCCACTTTTTGCACCACTGCATTGGGTAAATGGCACAGCGGGACTTAATGTCAGTAGAGCTTCTCCATTATGTCTGCCTGCAATGATGTCTAGGATCCAGCAGGAGTCAGTGATACAGTGTTGACACAGAATCGATAGTTTGGGTAATGTTGCGAAACGCTTCACGAGGCCTCATCTACCCATGACTACATTTTTGAGATAAATGAAGCTTACCACTTTGCTGCTGTGTCCGTTGCTGCCATATTCAGACAGGCAAAGACTCCTCCATGAGCCAAAGGCCTCGATGGACAGGCAGCCTGTCCCTGTCTGCAGCATGGCAGCAGCGCAGAGGCGGACAGAGGACATGTAATGACCCTTTGCACCAACATCACCTAATCCCGTGTGTCTACCATATTGGTTGGCAGAATCATGTTAACAGTGAATGACACTAAACAAAGGGAAAAGTAGAGCCTGAAATTGTTTTTGGTATTTTTTGCGATTTTTAGCATTCCTTCTACTAGTTTAAGCCCGGGTCAGTTATCAGAAGTGGCGCACCTAGGTGGGGATCATTGAGAGGGGTATTTGCAAAAGTTAAGTGTTATTAACTAGCTTACAAACGTTAGTTCTCTCTGCAGCTGTTCTCTGATGTAAACAAGTTGCAGACTTTGGCAAAATTCACCCCTCTGGCTTTATAACATTATGTTATAAACAGCGTTTCACTTTACACCAAAGCTGATTTAAAGAAAAGTCCGGATCCCTGCCAGTTTTTGTTGCTGCAGTGTCACCAGGTTCAGTTGCTGCTCTCACACTGGGATGAGACAAGATCTCGCTGAATGGTGATGCTCGTACTAAACAAAAAACGTCATTTTTACACACATAATCATGAATTGGAGCAATAATATTGTAAATATTTATCTTGCATTTCACTACAGCGGACAGTACCGCGTGCCGTCCGTGGTGAAGTATCCATCCACCCATTTGGATTATCAATATAAACAAATTACATTTGTCCCTGTCCCTGTTTTCCTCATGAAGTAAAGCAAGTTACCAACATTGCCAGAATTCACGTGAATGGATTTTTAACACAGTGTGATAAAAAACATTTCACTTTACACTGGAGTCGATTAATTTTTTTTTAAAAGTCCAACTAGTTTTTTCCGCTGGCGGGGTCACTGTGCTCAGATGCTACTCATGCTAAGATGAGTCAAGATATTTCATAACGGCGACACTCATCATACTAAGTTAATAACGTCATTTAACACTCATAATCCTACACTGGATCAACATTATTGCAAAAAAATCATCTTGCATTTCACTACAGCGGACGGTACTGCGCATCATCCGTGGTGAAATATCCATCCATCCAATTAGATTATCAGTATAAACACATCACATTTATCCCTGTCCTTGTTTTTTTAACATACCTAGAGATTTAAAATGTACAACACACTGTATTTAAGGGCTAAAATAAAAGATTTTTCATGATATGTGTCCTTCAAATGGCCTCTCAGGCTAGTTCTGTAGGCTACACAATTGCTGGTAAGACCGCTGACTTGACAGTTGTCCAAAAGATGACCACTGACACCGTGCACAAGGAGGGCGACACACAAACGGTCATTACTAATGAGGAGGGCTGTTCACAGAGCTCTGTGTCCAAGCACATTAATAGGGAGCCTAAGCCCAACTACTTCTGGACCACGGGTCCCCGGAAGAACGAAAAAAAGAATGCAAGTCAACGGGGGCTAAATACGCTATTTTCTAATTCCACTTGTTTTGTGCCATGGATGTCCGTGAATTTTAAAGACACATTTTGATACCAAGAGCACGCTTAGTTATGAACAGTGGGAAATGTTATTTTAGGTTTTGTGTGAAAATAAGTCCAGAACTACAAATGCGTATTGCATAGGTGACGTCATCGAACCAGACATGGAGAAAACCAGAAAACGGCTGTAAGTTCAGCAAACTTCAAATCCTTCCTTCAGGGGGAAAAACCACCATAAATCTGGTCATGTGGTAAGTAGCAGCTATGGTGGGGAAAAGAAGATTCTGTGATGACGTCACATTACCGATGTCTGATATAATCATGCTAATTGTGAACGAGTACATGACAGGCACGATCGAAACACTCATCACTACTTTTTATTTGAATTGAAGTACAACATATGTATGATCCAGGGCGTACGGCAAAGCAGATTAGAGAATAGCTCTTTTAGCTCCGTCAACTTGCATTTAGTTTTTCAATCTTCTGGGGACCCATGAGCCGACTAGAAAGAAAAGAGACTTGGGCTCTCTATAGAATGGTGCGGGGAAAGATAAGATGTGGTAGAAAAAGGCATACAAGCAACAGGCATAACCACACCCTGGAGAGGATTGTGAAACAAAACCCATTCATAAATGAGGGGGAGATTCACAAAGAGTGAACTGCAGCTGGAGTCAGTGCTTGACGAGCCACCACGCTCGGACGTATGGAAGACATGGTTTCAGCTGTCGCAGTCCTTGTTTCAAGTTGAACAAGAGACAGCATCAGAAGCATCTCGCTTGAGCTAAAGACACAAAGGACTGGGCTGCTGTTGAGTGGTCCAAAGCTACCGCTACCTGGTTTAAGGACCAGTATCCCTGTTCTTGATTGGACAGCGAACTCGCCTGATCCTAGCCCCATAGAAAATCTATGGAGTATTGTGAAGAGGAAGATGCAATACACCAGGCCCAACAATTAGGAAGAGCAGAAGGGACCCTGGCATTTATTCTGCATCTGGTTTAGAGCCCAGCAGCTATTACATCATGCTCACGAGCATCTTCGCCTCCATCTGTTTGTGAGAGTGGGGAGTGGGGGGGATTCCTGAGAGGGAGAAATTGTAAATGTGGTGCCAGGACATGTGAAGAGGGTCAGATGCATGTGCCTGATGCTGATTGTGAGAGTTGGAAGCCCTGAGGTCATTTGCACTAATGCTGTTATCCGCCTCAAAGTAAAGAATGTGTTTTAGTTCTTTAAGCAGAGCACTGGAGCATTTGTAGATGTAGTGTGGGCATCATTTGAATCCATTACCATAGATTCAGTGTCTCTGCAAGTGGCTATCCTTGGAGTAATGACTCCTAGCCTGATGCCTTGTGACACGTTAGCCCATGCTGTCCTGAATCTTGCTTTGCCCCCTGCTTTAAATGAAGTTTTCCAAGTTCTCAGAAGATAGGAACTCAATTATTGGTGTTTGATGAGCTAAAATGGTTTTATAAATAGTCAAATCAAAGTATCACTCTGTTAAATTGGTTAATTTTAATTACTAATACACATTAATTGTTTGGCAGGTCCAGAGGGTGCAAACCTGTTCATTTACCACCTACCACAGGAGTTTGGAGACCAGGATCTGCTGCAGATGTTTTTACCTTTTGGAAATGTGGTGTCTGCAAAAGTCTTCATTGACAAACAGACAAACCTCAGCAAATGTTTTGGTGAGTGAACATTACTGAAAATAACTACAATTATCATCACCTGGGTGATGAAAATGAAAATAGTATTCTGATGAACTACAATAAGAACCAAGATTTGGGGTCATTACCATAAATCCCCGAAGTGCATACAGGTATGAAAGTGATGTAAGTATTTGACAGCCTGGTAGATGAGGCTGTTGATGAGTCTGGTAGCGGAGGCTCCTGTACCTCCTACCAGAGGGAAGGAGGCAGAACAGATTGTGTTCAGGGTGGCTAGCATCACTCACGATTGTGATGGCTGTCTTGGTGAGGCGGGTGATGTATGTGTCTTTCAGAGAGGGAAGTGGTGCAATGGTCCTCTCAGCTGTGTTGATAGTGTGCTGCAGTGAAGCTCCCACCCCACACAGTGATGCAGCCGGAGAGGATGTTCTCAACAGTTCCTCTGTAGAATGTGGTCATCATGGATGATGAAGACCTAGCCTGCTTGAGTTTGTGTAGGAAGTAGAGGCGCTGCTGGCTCTCTTTGCCATGCCAGTGATGCAGTGTTGGTGGGTCCAGCAGAGGTCCTCACTACTGTGCACCCCCTAGAATTTGGTGCAGAGCACCCTCTTCACAACAGCACCATCCATGTTCAGTGGCAGGTGTTGGGTGGTCAGCAGTGTAAAGAGGACAAGAGGCTAAATGCGTTTGGATTTTATAAATGTGAGGGTTGGGAATCTGTAGTATATTTTGGGATTATTTCAATGTAACATATTTTTGATGTTTGTATTTTTCCCCAGGCTTTGTGAGCTACGACAACCCAGTGTCTTCACAAGCAGCCATCCAGTCCATGAATGGTTTCCAAATTGGGTTGAAAAGATTGAAGGTGCAGCTGAAGCGTTCGAAAACCGACATCAAGACGTACTAAAGCTTTTAGGCAGGGCGGCACTGTAGTCCTACTGAAACCAGCTTAAACTGGTTCATTCAGCTCTTTACCCGTTTCTTGTTAACTTGTTAAAACAAACGGCCAATGTCACAGTTTTCTTTTTCATTGTTTCATTTTTTATCAAGTAAAACAAGTTACATCCAAGTTTACATTGTGTGATTTTGCTGTGCCATGACTTCCTTTTCAGATGTGTTGCTTGTTATCTATTGAATGATAATCTGTGTATTCATTTGTTTTCCCGCCGGCCACACAGAATAAAAACGTTTTTTTAAAGCTGCCAGCAGGAATCAGTCATTTCTCTAACTTTTCTGTTCCAAAGTTTGTGGGGGGAAACTTTATCAGCGTGTGCAAAGCCCAGTTTAAAACTATTAATTTTAGAACTTGTTGTTTCTTTTTTATCTTTTTACATCCCAGTAAACACAATAAGGGTTCGTCATTGTAATCTGTTGTGACAAACCAGAAAAAGAGCAAATGAATTGGCTTTTTGGAGTTCTGAACCTACAGGGCAAGTCACCAAATTTAACAGAAGTGTCATTCATACATGCAAATTTATGTATTTAACTTAAGAAAACCTCACCTGTTACATCCTTTTGCGATGCCATTTTATTCTGTAATGTCTAAAAACACTCCAATCACCTGTTTTCTATCAGTGTTGGTTCAGTGGAATTGTAGCTTTGTCTCGTGTGTTGTCTGTGCACGTATCGGACCCGTAAAATGTACTCTATGGAGGATTTAGGATTGAATTAATTGGTAATTGGAGTTACTGGTTGTAAATATTTTAAACACGTCAAAGCTGACCCACTTTCTTATAGGATGGGGTGTTGAATCATCTATTTTGGACAGTCTCCTACATATTTAATGGGAAGGGGACTCTAACACTCGTTTGTGTTTGTAACTCTGCTAGTTATTTATTATATGTATGTATTTATACTATAGATTTAATTTGACATTCTAAAAATCCATTCTCGTCAATCCCATACTGTAAGAAAATCTATTCCATTAAGTAAAATGTCCTCGTATTCCTTCCCACCTCTAAAGGTTTATCATATCATTGTTTTGCAAGGAATACGTTTTGTTGCTTTGTTTTGTGTCGGATAGTTAGGACTCTGCTTCCAACAGCATGTTTTAGATCTTCTGTTTTGTTTGATTTAGTCACGAATCCCTTCTGCAGACGCTAACGACGGCTGGAGAGACATTTCTCACTGCGAGGAGATACGTTTTGCGTTTGGTTCTACTAAACAGACACCAGAGGTGCTAAAAACAAGCCCAAACTGTCCCTTTAAATAAAACGCTGGTTTAATGTAAGTTTGTAGATCGGTCAGTAAGTTCACACATTTGACATCATTTTCTGTGGCTAAATAAACTTAAAAAACAAAGAAATACGAGGAGCCGTTTGAGAGCTGAAAGAGCCGGAGTTCCCGTCACTGCTGGCAGAATAAAAACCCGTAGGTAGATGACTCCTGCCGACATGCTCAGTCGTCTCCATGGCTGCGAGTTCTGATGAAGTACACCGGTCAAAACGTGTAAACTCATAACACAACCTTACGTCCGAATGGAAACAGAACCTCATTAAGTATTTAAGAAGAGATGTTTGTTTCAACATGATATCAGAAAGAGACTGTTTGTTTCAACATGATATCAGAAAGACACTGTTTGTTTCTGCATGATATCAGAAAGAGACTGTTTGTTTCTACATGATATCAGAAAGACACTGTTTATTTCAACATGATATTAGAGAGAGACTGTTTGTTTCTACATGATATCAGAAAGACACTGTTTGTTTCAACATGATATTAGAAACAGACTGTTTGTTTCTACATGATATTAGAAACAGACTGTTTGTTTCTACATGATTTCAGAAAGAAACTGTTTGTTTCAACATGATATTAGAGAGAGACTGTTTGTTTCTACATGATATTAGAAACAGACTGTTTGTTTCAACATGATATTAGAAACAGACTGTTTGTTTCTACATGATTTCAGAAAGAAACTGTTTGTTTCAACATGATATTAGAAAGACACTGTTTGTTTCTGCATGATATTAGAAACAGACTGTTTGTTTCAACATGATATCAGAAAGACACTGTTTGTTTCAACATGATATTAGAAACAGACTGTTTGTTTCAACATGATATCAGAAAAACACTGTTTGTTTCAACATGATATTAGAAAGACACTGTTTGTTTCTGCATGATATTAGAAACAGACTGTTTGTTTCTGCATGATATCAGAAAGACACTGTTTGTTTCTACATGATATCAGAAACAGACTGTTTGTTTCAACATGATATTAGAGAGAGACTGTTTGTTTCTACATGATATTAGAAACAGACTGTTTGTTTCAACATGATATTAGAAACAGACTGTTTGTTTCTACATGATTTCAGAAAGACACTGTTTGTTTCAACATGATATAAGAAAGAAACTGTTTGTTTCTGCATGATATCAGAAAGACACTGTTTGTTTCAACATGATATCAGAAAGAAACTGTTTATTTCAACATGATATTAGAGAGAGACTGTTTGTTTCTACATGATATTAGAAACAGACTGTTTGTTTCTACATGATATCAGAAAGAAACTGTTTGTTTCAACATGATATTAGAGAGAGACTGTTTGTTTCTACATGATATTAGAAACATACTGTTTGTTTCAACATGATATTAGAAACAGACTGTTTGTTTCTACATGATATCAGAAAGACACTGTTTATTTCAACATGATATTAGAGAGAGACTGTTTGTTTCTACATGATATTAGAAACAGACTGTTTGTTTCAACATGATATCAGAAAGAAACTGTTTGTTTCAACATGATATCAGAGAGAGACTGTTTGTATGGCAAGCCAAATGAGCATTTATTCTGATATCAGGATATCAGCCAGAATTGTCATGAACATGTAAGCCATTTCTGTCCACTAGTTAACTAGTTAGGCATGTTTGTGTCAACTAGTTAAATATCGAGGGTGAAAATGTGCCCACTAGTTAACTAGTGGCAGCAGAAATGCGCACTAGTTAACTAGTGAACATATTTAGGCTTCAGTAGTTAACTAGTTGACCCAAAAACTGCTCACTAGTTAACTAGTAAAAGCAGAAATGTATACCAGTCAACTAGTTGAAGGTATTTGTCTCACTAGTTAACTAGTGAGGGTCAAAATGTGCACACTAGTTAACTTGTGGTAGACATAAATGTGCACTAGTTAACTAGTGAACATATTTTGGCTTCACTAGTTAACTAGTTGACACATAAATGGCTCACTAGTTAACTAGTAAAGACCAAAATGCACACCAGTCAGCTAGTTGAAGGTTTTTGTGTCTCACTAGTTAACTAGTGATGGCCAAAATGTGCACACTAGTTAACTTGTGGTAGACATAAATGTGCACTAGTTAACTAGTGAACACATTTTGGCTTCACTAGTTAACTAGTTGACACATAAATGGCTCACTAGTTAACTAGTAAAGGCCAAAGTGCATACCAGTCAGCTAGTTGAAGGTTTTTTGTGTCTCACTAGTTAACTATTGATGGCCAAAATGTGCAAACTAGTTAACTAGTGAATGCTTAACTCCTAACTAGTTAACTAGTTGGAGTAGGTCAGTGCCACTAGTTAACTAGTGAACCATTAATGACTCACTAGCTAGCTAGTTGATGGCAGCAGGCTCACTAGTTACCTAGTTGATGCATCCATTGTCCAAACTAGTTAACTAGTGAGGACATAAATTTATACTAGTAAACTAGTTCAAGTCTACATTCACACTAGCTAGCTAGTTGCGCAGAATTCTAATTAGGAGGCGGAGAATTTCTCAAATTAAGACTCTCTATTGGCTCCCTGTGTCAAAAAAAAATATGACAACCAATCACAGTGCGGAATTTCGTAAAATCCCACCCCAAACATTTGCATGCGGCACACAAGTTAACATGCTGGCCAGAGGAACCTCAGCTAGTGAACTAGTAGTGGCTTCAGTGTGACACTTACATGTAAACTTGTGAAGGCGGAACTGCTCACTAGTTAACTAGAGAGGGTACAAATGTCCACTAGTTAACTAGTGAGGTGCAAAATAAGTGTCACTAGTTCACTAGTGGTTCCCAAATCGCCCACAAGTTAACTAGTAAGGTGCGGATATGCTCACTAGTTAACTAGTGAGGTGCAGATTTGCTCACTAGTTAACTAGTGCACCCTAAAGCGCCCACTAGTTAACTAGTAAGGTGCAAAAAAGCATCACTAGTGAACTTGTAAAGTGCAGATATGCTCACTAGTTAACTAGTGGGCCCCAAAATGTCAACAAGTTAACTAGTAGGGTGCGGATTTGCTCACTAGTTAACTAGTGAGGCACAGATATGCTCACTAGTTAACTAGTGATGTGCGGATTTGCTCACTAGTTAACTAGTGAGGTGCAGATTTGCTCACTAGTTAACTAGTGCGCCCTAAAGCACCCACTAGTTAACTAGTAAGGTGCAAAAAAGCATCACTAGTTAACTTGTAAAGTGCAGATATGCTCACTAGTTAACTAGTGGGCCCCAAAACGCCAACTAGTTAACTAGTAGGGTGCGGATTTGCTCACTAGTTAACTAGTGAGGCGCGTATATGCTCACTAGTTAACTAGTGAAGTGCGGATTTGCTTACTAGTTAACTAGTGAGGCGCGGATTTGCTCACTAGTTAACTAGTGAAGTGCGGATTTGCTCACTAGTTAACTAGTGAGGTGCGGATTTGGTCACTAGTTAACTAGTGAGGTGCAGATTTGCTCACTAGTTAACTAGTGAGGTGCGGATTTGCTCACTAGTTAACTAGTGAGGTGCGGATATGCTCACTAGTTAACTAGTGAGGTGCAGATATGCTCACTAGTTAACTAGTGCGCACAAGACGCACACTAGTTGCTGTTTTTGGAGCAATCTAGTTTACTTGTTATGTAAAAATGTGTTCTTACTAGTTAACTAGTGACAAATTTACCTTCACTAGTTAACTAGTTGACATATTTGGCCTTTCTAGTTCACTTGTAATGGGACAGGAAGCACTCACTAGTTAACTAGTGAGCATATCTGCATTATAATTTTTTCTCAGTAGCTTATAGAGGGCAAACTGAGCCTTACATGTTAAGTAGTGAACACAAAACACTGTCACTAGTTAACTAGCTGCAGAAAAATGCCCCTAAAACTAGTAAATTTGTGGAATTTGAATAAATACACACTTGGCTGGCATTCTGTGTAACATGTTAACTAGTTCGACCGCTGTACTGCTCACTAGTTAGCTAGTGAGCAAATCCGGCCTTTACATGCAAATGAAGAAATGCAGAACAGCAATGTGATTGGTCCATTTAGGACTGAGAAACAGAGAAAGTATGGCGGACTCTGTTCAGGCTGTTCTAAGAGAAAATTTGATAAACTAAGATTGTTTGAGCATATAAATATGTTTTGACGACATTTGTAGCGAGAAAGTTGTGGTGTATTGCTGTCATCTTTGTTCAGTTAACGTGTACAGTCTTTAGTTTTCAGTTATTAGTCTGAAAAAGCCTGGAGGCGGAAGGCAGCGGCAGACAGCATGTCTGTTTCTGTTGACAGGAAAGTGCAGAAACTCCGCAGAAATCTCCGTCAGATATATTGTTTCACATCTGTACGGAAGCGACAAGTTTATAATAATAAAAAAGGCTCTATTTTACATACGTTGCTGTAAAGCCTGCCAGCACTCATGATGTTTTGAAGGGATAAATTTGCAAAGAGATTTAGCACATAGCACTGGTGGTCTAGTGACTAATGCGTTTGTCTGCAATGGCGAAGGTCGTGGGTTCGATCCTGGTTAATATACTTTAGTTTTGTACATTATTTCACTTCTTTTCTTTTGCATAATTTTTGTATTTATGTCAACAAGAAACAAAATACGTAACGGATTAGTGGGCAGAGTTACACACACACACACACGCACGCACGCACGCACAAAACATGTAAACAAGTATTTTATGAGTATGAATCTGATTATTGCCGGCAGTCGATATTTAAGCATGTGTGTCCCCCTTCCTCAATCCATCCTCGCAAAATAAAATCATCGGCACAGCACAGCAGGCTTTCTCTTGATCCAGAACTAGCACTTCGAAATTGATCATGTCCGCGGCCATCTGCTGCACAATCAGCTGCTCGCAAAGCGGGAAACATTGAAAACAGCTTCATGAACTGAGACACGACAGGGTTAACATCGACAAAAAAATCCACAAATAAATCTAAATAATTAATGCCATTTCCGTCTTATTCGTTGAAATATACAAATAGCAGATCATAAATCTAGAGCAGAAAAAGCTGCTGCAGGAAGCAGGGTCTGTAGTTATTCATGCACCAATTCATCAATGTGATTATTGATCAAGATCAGGTAAACTGATATTAATGTTGCAACATTTCATTTGATCATCTGAATGATACCATACAACTGAATGACCTGTTGAGTCTCTGCATATTCAGGTATTTACTACGGAAAACAAACAACAGCAGGCAGCAGCAGGACTCCCCATGTTATTTCTCGGGTCGCTGGCCCGCGGTCGTCGGGGCCGCTGCGGTCAGCTCTTAGGTAGAGCCGGGAAGCCCTCGTTCGGCTGCGTGGGCTGCTTCACCGTGGACCAGCTCCCAGCAGCCGCTGGTCGGGAGAAACGCTCTG